ACGAACATCCCTCTCTGGGATCCTGTTCAATACATAAATGTACTAGTGCAACTAATCTGTCAAGACAAATCGTACGGTTGACACTACAACCGTTCCGATGGGTTGTTCAATTCCATCTTGGTTGTGAACAAATGATTCTTGTTTCGCAAGTAACTGATATAGTGATCTTCGGTACGCCCGATGACGACCCACTTATCTACATGCAAAACAACAGAACGTGGAACTTATTTAACCAAACATAATTCTCATTCATCAAGAAATAACAAGTGTAATATCCACCAAGGCAAAGCTTAAGTATATAACACCAACAATCTCCCACTTATACTTAAAGCTGCCGCTTTACTAGTATAGTCCTATCAATCCGTATCCTAAAAGACCTATGTCGATCCTATCACCATACATTTGACTCCCATTCTCTCTACGTGTTTGCCTAAGACCTTCTCCGGCAAACTCTTCGTAAAAGGATCAGCTAGGTTGTCTTCTGATGCAATCTTGGTGATTTCAACTTCTCCTCTTGCCACAATATCTTCTATAAGGTGGTATTTGCGCTCTATGTGTTTGCTTGCTCTGTGGGCTCGTGGTTCCCTTGAGTTTGCTACTGCACCACTGTTATCACAGTACACGGTAACAATACGTGGCAAACTCGGAATCACTTCTAAGTCCACCAAGAAGTTTCTGAGCCAAACTGCCTCTTTCGCTGGCTCAGAGGCTGCGATGTACTCGGCTTCCATAGTGGAGTCTGCTACGCACTTCTGCTTAGCACTCCTCCATGAAATGGCTCCACCTCCCAAGGTAAACACATAACCTGAGGTTGACTTACTTTCATCCCTATCTGAATGAAAATCAGAATCGCTGTAACCCAGCGGAAACAAACTGTCTGCACGGTAAACTAAGATGTACTCCTTAGTCCTTCGCATGTACTTGAGTATATGTTTCACCGCAGCCCAATGTTCCCTTCCTGGATTACTTTGATATCTCTCTACCATGCCAACGGCGTAGCTAATATCACGCCTAGTGCACAACATTGCATACATGAGACTTCCTACTGCCGAAGCATAAGGAACT